ATGCTGGAGAAATTATAGAAAATAGACCATTAAGTAATTTTCAGATCAATTATCTATTAAATATTACCAAAATCTCACTATAAGTTTATTTGAGCTATCAGAGCTAATGTGACACGTCCTAAGAATGCAGTACTATCTAATACAGGTTTATCAGAAAGTTCATTCCCCCAAAGTAGTTCAGTGGTAAATGGTAAATGTAGGACTGTAGCATAAATAAAAGCTATCATGTTATTAGAATAAGCCTGTTTTTAATCTATTTTTAACCAGAAGGCATTAAAAAAAAAAAAAACAGACAGGATTTAGAACCCAGCTGGTCATACCGATCAATAAAATAATTCACTGATTAAATTACTAAAAAAACAGACAAAACCTTTTTTGGCATGAAAACTGAAGCCTACCTTGGCTTAAAAATAGTAAATAAGCAATAAAACTGTTGTAGTAGTAGAAACAGCACAGCTTCTTTTGAGGAAAGCCACCTTTCTAAGAATTCATCATTCAATATCAGATCTGACATCTAAAAATAGTCAGCTTCTCTGTCTAAAATGGATAAGAAAGGCCATTAGCTTGGCCATCTGTGGCAATCCTTGACAAAGTTCTGGGAAAAGCATCTAATCTTTTTTGAGCCCTCAGCAAGCCACAACTTTCCAAGATTCGGAATACCAATGGACAAACATTTAAAGACCTTTATGTAGGGGTATCCATAGAGAGGGAGTAAATGAAAAGGTCAAGCCGGTGGCCACAACCATGCGATCGAAGCCCTAGCCCATTTTTAGTGCGTTGTGATGCACGTAAAAAGGGGCAGGGTTTTGGTCACATAGTTGTGGCTGCCACCTTGACTTTTCTGCCCCCCTCCCTGCAGACAACTGTGCATTTATGTATCGATCCTTTCCGAAACATGCAGGGTGCTTTATAACATAAGAGAGACCATATGAAAACAGAGAGGAGAGAAATAAGCCACTGTATGTCCTGTGTTTTTCTTAATGCTACATAAGAGTCGGGAAGAAAGTTCATCTCAGGAAGAAGTGCTGGAAAGGGAGGCACTGAATGGTGATTGGTTCCTGCCAAAGCAAAGAAGGCCTGGAGGGAGACAAGGCATGAGGAAGAATGGCATTCTATCATTTCTCTACCTGCCACTAGTACCATTCAGACATGCCCACCTACCATAATCTTTTTTCTCTTTTTGTGGCCTCCCAAATCAATCAGTTTGGGAAGAAACCTTGCAGCTCACCTAGTCCAGCTCCCTGTTGAATATGAGTATTGCAACACAAGATGTTGATACTGTCCTTGACAAATAGCTGCACAGCCTCTGCTTAAGAAAATCCCATCATCTCCCAGTGCTCACAAAGGGGATGTTTACTTACAATTTGAAGAAGGTTGTGCCCAACTGCAACAGCAGCACATGAGGCAGCCTATGTTCGTGTACAATGAGGACCCCCTCAACGGTCCGCCTCATTCCAATCTTGTCAAATTCTTCCCTCATGCGCTGGAATCGGGCGGCTACAGAACTGTCTTTCTCATAGAGGGGTTCCTTGGTCCCAAAGGTATAATTTGTTAGTGGATACCTGGAAGAAATGACATCTTAAGCACACAATTTCATGCAAACTATTTCAGGATTTTATCACAACTCTCTAGAACATAGTATCAAACTGTAGCTCGTTACAGTACTACTGTATTTTTCCAAAAGGAAGACATTCCTGGGTTTAAGACACCTCCTCTGCCAAAACAAGATAAGATAGAAATATTCATCTAACTCCATTACTACATTCTGGATAAATCTAAGATGAACCTCTTATACTGAAATTAAATTACTTGGGGAAAAAACTTGGGTTTTGTTGAGTTCACAACAAAAGCAAGATATTTCAGCTCTGCTGTGTGCCTTTAAGCAGCAGCCTCTGACTCTCCTGTATAATATATTATTAGACAGATAACTTGAAGGAGAAAATGGCAGGGAGAAGGCTTTGATTGCTCCTCTCACTTCCTTGTCACAAGAGAATCAGGCAGACTTCAAAAGCCCAATGTTTCCTCTCACTGCTGCCAATGCAAAGATGATAGTCCTCAGACCAAGTTGCGAACGGAAACCAGAATCAGTTTTAGCTCTGCACTTCCTAACTGCAAGTAAAGAATCAACATATACTTCTTCCCCCTTTCTCACTGGCCCTAAACTAGAAGAAAACGATTTAGCTATATCTCTAACTTTCAAGCAAATACTAACTCAGAGAAAGTGGCATTATGGAGCCTAATGAAGACAGAGTTGGAGTTCTAACTCTTTTTCACAAACTGATCTGCAGAATGTAACACAGGAACAGTGGCTTTTCTATGCATCTAAGGATTAGAGCTGCAATCTTCTAGACTGCACCAGGTAAAAGAAGTCAGCACATTTCTATCGGCTATCATGAGCCTATACTACCATTGCAGCATAAGATTTCCTCCTTACCAGCTCTGGAGAATAAAGTGTTTTTCTAAACATCCAAGAGATTGATGGTTGTTAAAAGACTGATATAATTCAGTTGATTGTTTGAGACAGGATGAATATTTCTGATGAGGATGGCCATCAATTCACTATCCGCTGCTACACCAATCTCAAAATGCATCTTTACCACATTTCCCTAATCTGGAGGATGGAGACAAATGTGAAATAAAATATCCCAGCCTTACAGCTGACAATCCATTCAAAGATATACTGGGCTGCTTGGGACATATTAGGAAGTGTCAGGTTGAAGAAGGAAGGTTACCTTCAGTTATTGGGCCTCCTAGTTAGAAAAATCTTACTTAAAACTGGAAGTTACTAATGATAAGGATCAGCTGGTTTAGAAGAATCAGTCAGTTTCATGGCTAGTTTCAAAAGCTTGTTCATCTATGTCATAGCTATACCATTCCAGCACTTAATGAAAAAACCTCCCAAATCAAAATTTGAGCTTTTATTGTGTTCTAATACGTTTTAATATTCTGTTTTGCAGCAAAGATATTGGGCACATGCTAACCTCAGCGCTTAAGAAAAGTTCCACATCATCTTAAGCATGTTGCACCTTAACAGTTAATTGACACCCTCAGTTATGAATCACTATCAAACTATGGCATAAATGATGAGTGCAAACCAAACACCAAGAAAGTACACACACTTTTCATGAATCCTGTGCTGCAAAATTATGAGACATGTCTACAGGTTTGGATCATGAATCTAAGCACAAAAAAATCACACACATGGATTACGTAAATATGTTCTCAGAAACTGTCCAACGAATGAATTGGGTGCAAACCATGCAAAAGTAATTAGCGGCATGTGTGAATGAGCCTTCATCTTTTTTTCTTTTTTTTTTACATCATGCCTAGAAGAGGTGGCAAGGGCAGCTGAGAAGAGAGTAAACCCCACACTATCAAAAGACCAATAAAACAGGCGTCCCCCAGAACCACAATTTCAATTTGCATGGTCTGTTCATCACCCAGAAAGCTCCTGGACAGCTAATTAACTGCTGCATTCACACAAGCCGGTAACTTGGCTACTGAAATAACCCATTTGGGGGGAGAGTGTCTCATAATACACTAAATCATGAATTTAAATAATAAGGAGGCCACCAGGTAATTTAGGTCCATAAAGCAGACTGGGAAGTTAAAACTCCGGGGAGAAAGATGGCAAATGACTTCCATACTCTTGCCAAAAAACTTCCATGCACAAGTCAAACTCAGGGGAAGGGAGTCTATATTTTGCCCAGTTCATGGAGCAACACACGAGCAATCTTAAAAATATTGAGAGGGATATGTTAAGAACTTGAAGGGGAGACCACTAGGAAATCCCAGGGACACAGATTTCAGTCTTCCTGAAGATATTCCCGGATGAGACCACCAGAAAATACCACGGCTGTAGTCGAGGGTGGCGATGGCAAACCCCTTTCGTTTGGGCAAGGCAGCGACATGGACGCGCATCCCTAGACTGACCAGGAGCTGGGCTGAAAGGAGCCCTCGGATTGCGCCTGGCTCGTTAAACAGATACGTTCGCATTAAGGCAGATCCCGCGGGGCTCTTCCCAAGCGGCAGAGCGAGGAAAAGGCCGCCCCCGTTCATGAGGGAGCCCAGCGCCGCTGCCAGGCTGTGTTCGCCACACTAGGACCCCGACTCGACCCGTGTTCTGGTTTCACACAATACGCCGGGCCCTAAACTGACCCAACCGGGCTCAGCCCCGCGAACGAAGCCAGCCCAGGCCAAGCGCCCTTCTGCGGAGGAGGACCGGCGCCCACTCACAGGTTGATGGTCCGCTCGAGGGTGAGGGGCTTGCTTTGCTGGATGTATTTGTTCCCGAACTGGTTGACCCCGCGGGGCCAGCCGGTCTGGGAGCGGTTGGGCGGCACGACGGACATCGCGGAGGCGGGACGGCTCACAAGGCCACCAGCATTCCCCGGCCGCGCGGATGCTCCAAGGGGCCGTCCCTCACGCCGCGCTCGTCTCACACCCGCCAAAGGGCGCACCGGAACCAGCAGGCCGCACTTCCGGGAGCCATAGAGTCCGCGAAGGCGCTGAGCGGCTTCTCCCACCAGCCCGCCCTGAACGCCGTAGGGAGGTAGGGTCAAAGAAGCGTCCCTCTGTCGTCAACGACGGTGGAGGGCTGTGGCCAATAGGAACGTCCCTACGGCCCGTTCCTATTGGGTGTCAGAAGCCACCTCTAAATGCTCATTGGCTCTCCTCAGACCCCGCCCCTCACCTGGTGGTTCTAGTTGTGGCAGAACGACCATACAGTACATAACTGCACCTCTTTAAAGAAAGAAAAGGAAGCGTCCTGCAAATATTGGTGGACATTTCTTCCATGAACGTTCATGTTAACTCATGTAATAATGTTCATTTATGTTGGTGGCAGTAGTGGGGCTTCATTACCTTTCACAGGAAGTCTCGGGCCTCCTCGAGGCCTCTCCTTTCGAAGCTTTTCCTCTCCCGTCGCGATGATTGGATAGCCAGGCTTTAGGTCCGCCTCTCAACCTCGCGGCCCCCTGCGGGGCCTGTCGGGAGTCGTAGTTCCCCGCTGGGAGCGCATGCGAAGGGGAGGGATGAGCGGGAGGCGGCGGCGACTGCCACTCGAGGGGGCTTCGCCTGCGCCCCTGCCGGGAAAAGCCGCCAAGAAGCGCGTGAAGCGGGAGCTCCGCGTGGAGTTCTCTGCCGCCGTGAGGGAGCGAGCCTTGAAGGAGAAAGTGGCCGCGGCTTGGGCCCGCCAGGAGCCGCTTGAGCACGGTAGGGGCAGGAGGCGCTGAGGTTTCCAAGGGGCTAGTCCTCATTGAGGTATGGGGCAATCCTAGCTGGGCTTGAGCGGCAGCGCAGCTCGGGCTTAACCCACCGGATGTTTTCCAGATGTGTTGCAAAGTGCAGTTGGTATTATTATATTTTTGTCCTGCCTTTATGTTTATATGTATATGTGATACACACACACACACACACACTAAAATATTATATTTAAGTTGAATATATGCAACTCAAT